ATAGAACTAGATAGTCTTGATTGGACAGCAGTGATAAGAAGAGCCAGAGCAGATGGTAGGAATGTTTGCATAGCCCTAAGTATAACCTCTTCATTTCTCTATCTCTTGAAAAAGAAGTAATTTTCAAAGTGGGAATAAGAATGGATCCGCACCATTCAGAAAGCAAATGGCACTGATGATCAAATGCAATTATATCTATTTTCATTCCTTCATTTAATGAAGGAAATAGGTTTAACCCAATCAGTACAATATAATTTTCTTACAGCGTAATCAGCAAATACATGCTGCCAGAATTAATTGTATGCTAAAATAACCTTATAAGCCACCCGAAGTTGTCGTAAGCCACCCAGAGTCACTCATGTGTGAGTTGGGCGGCTATAAAAAAAATTGTTTAATAAATAAGTAATTCATTTCTTTATCCACTTTAATTTTAAATCCGTTGAAGTCTGAGGACCTGCTGATTGGGAAACTCTTTGTAATTGCTCACTCTGTATCATTGCTCTCCAGGTCCCCAGCTCTTCTGGAGCTTAGAATAAAGTTTTGGGGTTTGGTGAGAAACTGAGTAAAACTAAAATTCTGGAAAATTGTACTGAATTGCGTAGATCAGGGGTCTTCAAACGTGGCCCTTTTATGACTTGCGGACTTCAACTTCCAGAATTCCTCAGCCAGCATGGCTGGCTCAGGAATTCTGGGAGTTGAAGTCCACGAGTCATAAAAGAGCCAAGCTTGCCTGTCTGAGGAATTCTGGGAGTTGAAGTCCGCAAGTCATAAAAGGGCCAAGTTTGAAGACCCCTGACGTAGATACATCTCTAACATTGATACCAAGTAGAATAAGCTTTTAAAGTTGCATTTTGGTTAGAATTAACAAGCTTCTCTCTCTCCCCTTCCCCCCCCTCAGGGTACCTGATCATCAGGATATAGCTTTTGGGGCTTTGCAGCAAGGAACCAATTGCCTTGACACATTAGGCCATTTTGCAGATGGCGTTGTCGGTGTTTATGAATGTCATAATGCTGGGGGAAATCAGGCAAGTATAGTAATAATAGATCAAAAAATCATCACCTGGTTCTTAAATAGGAGTGAAAAATCAACTTGAGTTCTAATTCTTTGCAACACCCCGACATGAACTTTGATCATATAACCGTGGGAGCCTCAACATCTGTAACTTCAGGCACCGATTGTAAATCCCTTCATTCAGCACCATCGTAATTTAGACTGATTATGAGCAAACAGTCATTAAGCAAGATATATACATATATATATATACAAATTATACACACACACACACATACTGTACACATACACACACATACATACACACATTTTAGTAATATAAACTGCAGCAAAGGTTTAATATAAACGTTATGAAAAAATTAAAAGGTTAAAACTAAAAAAAGAAGAAACCTAGAAGAGAAATGAAATAGGAAAAAGTATTTTAGTTGACCTGCCGTTCTCAGCTGCATAGGTTTATTGTTTTTCTGAATGAACAGTGACCACAGTTATTATTCTGGAGCAGACATGTCAAACACAAGTTCCGGGGGCCGGATGCGGCCTGTGAAGTGGTTTCATGTGGCCCGCAAAGCCATCCTGGAAACAGCTGCCTTGGCCCTGGCCCAGGCCGGCCGGGAGCCAATGTACAATTTTGTGGTGGCCATCTATGCTGAAATGCATTCAGTCTTAGCTCCACAAGGCCATCTAGAAACAGCAAGGAACCAGCCCCTGCTGTGTCGGGCCTGCCCTCTGGGTGCATGCTGGGGAGGTGTCATCCTTTGTGAGGAATGAAGAAATGGACCATGCCTTGGCGCTTGCCCCGGTCCCACCCCCTTCTGCCAGAGACCCTCAGATCTGTTCCACTCCTGCCCAGGCCCCCACAGGGACCCTTGATACGAACGATGTAGAGCTGGCCATGCCCCCCAGTAGACCACACCCACTCCATCCACACCCACCAGTAGGCCGCACCCCCCCGAGGGCAACCGCAATGCTGATGTGGCCCTCAATGAAATTGAGTTTGACACCCCTGCTCTGGAGGAAGAAGGTGAGCCCCCCCCTCCTTTCCCTTTATGAATTCTTGTGAAGGGGAAGTACAGCTCCTTTGCGTTTGCTGAGAAGAAGAGCAGAAGCTGAAGAGCAAATGGCTGTAGCTTCTGTTATTTGGATGTCTTTTCCTTAAGTGGGAGGCTCCTCCCTTCTGCATTGAGAGAGCACTTCTTTCTTGTTTATTTCCTTCCCTGTTCAGCTCCTGCTGTTCCTACTTCTATCCCTCCCCACATCTCCATTTTCTTTTTCTCTCTTCTCTCCTCTTCCTCCCTCCTCCCTTTCCTCTGTTATTTTGGTTGGAAAGAAATATTTTTCTTCATTCTTCTGTGTGAAATTGGCTCATGATCAGTTTGTGTAAATGGGAATCAATTAAATGTATACTTAGGGTATTTTATTCTATAGGGGATTAATGTTAACCAGTAGCTGATCATTCAATTAAGATGCATTGATTTTTCATTCTCCCTTCTTTTAGAGTGTGGCTTCTTTTAGATCGGTGTGTATGTATACACACACTCACACACACATAAGGATGTGACACACAGATACAGAAGTGCATCACATTCACAGATGTTTATTTGGGGGTGGAAGGATTGACTCCAGTTTGTTTTTTGGAGTGGCAAATTTAAATTGACTTGAGATAGATGGAGAAATTGGGCATCACATAAGATTTCTTTCTTCTGTAGAGAGATGAGACAACATAGGTTTGTCTTATTTGGTAAATGTTATAACTGGATGCTGTTGCGCCATAGCACCAGCAGATGGAGGTATATGACAATTATTTCTCATTAACCTTATAAGATTGCTGTAGGTCTAGTCTAGTGAATATAGTACGTAAGTGTAAACATATTCTGATCTAATATTGAGCTTCCAAAGAAAGATGCCATTTGACTTTTTCTTTCAAAAGAAAAAAAAAGGAATGCAAATTACTAGCAGTGTTAGATGAGGCCAGCCATTTACACCCTCTGCCCCTGTAGTTGTTTTATTGCATTATGAGATGTGAATTTATTTTTTATTTAATTTAATTTAATTTATATGAATAATGTGAAATACATATATTAGCTGATTACTGCGGAATTTATACAATATAAATCAGAAATTGTTAACACTATGATGGCTTAGATAAGTTAAAACTTTAAAAATACAGTTTCTGAAATGTTAATAAACATAAGGTTGTTTGAATTGTACAATTAAAGCTAAGTATGGTATTGCTGGAGAATTTCAAAATGCCTTATATTATTTTATAATATAAAATATAATATAATATAAAAACGATTGCTGTCCTTGAACTTAATTCTTAATGTCCTTGACGTTAATACTTAATACTAGAATCTCCACTGTACTGTTATTTCATATTGTTTAGAAATGTTAAAAAAAAAAAAAGAAAAGAAAAAAAGGGCTTGGAAAAAGTAGTTCAGTATTTGATTTCTAACTGCCCTCTTTACTTTTTCAACATTTCATTATTAAATGAGTTTCCCCCACAAAATAAAAATTGGATAGTTAGAAGACGGGATTAAAAGAGATGGAATGATTGCAGGCAGGATGTGTACGTGGGGCTAATTCTGTGTCCTTGCTTTATGTTCCAGGAATGGGCCTTAACAAAGGACAAGTCAGTGAAGCACATGGATTTATGCCTTACGGTTGTGGATCTAGCTGCTGGCTCACTCATCAAACTTCAGGGCTGCAGAGAGAATGACAATAGACAGGTCAGTACCTGGAATGCAGCCAGAGCTTTGAATGCTCTCCAAGATGAGATAGGACCCTCTAGAGCAGAGGTGGGGAACCTTGGCTCTTTTATGACTCGTGGACTTCAACTCCCAGAATTCCTGAGCCACCCGTGCTGGCTCAGGAATTCTGGGAGTTGAAGTCCACAAGTCATAAAAGAGCCAAGGTTCCCCATCCCTACTGTAGACTTATGCCGCTTTCCAATAGCCTGGTCCCTCCTTATGAACTCTGAGGTCTTGGGACTTGGTCCGCTGTGGGATTTCTGGCATGCTGCTATAATGCAATTCCATTATAGCCTGGATGTACAAGCTGAGTCTGCCTAGAAGCTCCTAGAAACCAGGGATGCAGCCCCTCAGGTAGGCTTGAAGAAGTGTTGAAAAAAACTGCCAACTATCAGTGAGACCAAAGAGCACATTTATTAAATATAAAAGACCCAGTCATTTAACTGTGTTTTATTAATTTGACCTGGCTTTTTAATTAAAATTGAACATATGAAATTGAAATAAATTTAGGGTTTGTCCTACCTTCATCCTTTATGTTCAGGCTAGGCCAGGGGTAGTCAACCTTGGCTCTTTTATGACTCGTGGACTTCAACTCACAGAATTCCTGAGCCAGCTGTGCTGGCTCAGGAATTCTGGGAGTTGAAGTCCAGGAGTCATAAAAGAGCCAAGGTTGACTACCCCTGGGCTAGGCTATCATTCAAGGGACTATGACCTTCAGATTCCTCTCCTTCTATTTCCATCTATTTCAGAGCTCTTCAAACTTGGCCCTTTTATGACTTGTGGACTTCAACTCCCAGAATTCCTCAGCCAACGTGCCTGGCTGAAGAATTCTGGGAGTTGAAGTCCACAAGTCATAAAAGGGCCAAGTTTGAAGACCCCTGATCTATTTGATGGTGGAGATTGTTAATAGAAAACAGGCAGCTGGTTGGCATTTGTATTTATATATCTCATCTTGTTCTGGTTATGCCACATGATTGTTACATTGATTACTTCTAATTATCCAGGGTAATTTTTTCTTCAGACTTTTCCACTGCTTATATGCATGGTCTGCATATATGAATAAGCATTGTGTAATTATGTTTGATTAAGCAAACTGCAGAGGATAAATTGCCAGGTTTTCTGACTAGAACCACCCACCCATAGCCATCTTGAAGCAAAAAATGTTGGAAAATCAGAACTATGGACTCCCGACAATTAACAATCACATTATTAGTTTCAATGCAGTGCAAAAATAAGGAAGACTTTTCATAGTTTAAAACTTGTTTGTTTGTTTTTTTAAAAAAACAACTACCCCCCCCCACCAGTCTCTAGCTTTTCTACTGTCGGGCAATATACAATTAATTGTAATTTTTTGCCACATAATTTTTATTTGTTGCTTTCTTTTAAAAAAAAAAAAAAAAAAAGGACTGCAGCAATCTGTGGTATTTTTACGTTTTGAAATATTTAGGTGTAAGTCTTTTCTAGCTCATATTGAAGAACTAGAATCTCTTGCTATATTAAATAAACAAATATTTTAAAGATAGGTTATCGCTAATTAAAATTTCTCTACTCATTAGTCCTCCTGTACCTCATGTCTTCCTTTATACTACCCTCTGTGGGTGAGCGTTCCTTGTAGCTTTAATTCCCTTTTATTTTTGAGCTTTTAATTTTGTCCTAGCCTTCTGATTGTTTTCCTCCCAGTTCATGGGATAGTTTAAAGCAGGGGTCTTCAAACTTGGCCTTTTTATGACTTGTGGACTTCAACTCCCAGAATTCCTCAGCCAGCATGCCTGGCTGAGGAATTCTGGGAGTTGAAGTCCACAAGTCATAAAAGGGCCAAGTTTGAAGACCCCTGATTTAAAGCTTAGCAGTGGTTATAACAACGACACTCATCCAGATTAGTAAATTGTAACAATTGTCAAGGACCGGGAGACAGTCCTGGACAGAACTGTCTAGGTTCATTTTCATTTAACCCATTCTTCCTGTGTCATTTAAGATTGTAGTCCCAGAGAAGAGGCCGATCCACTCTCTGTTGCCCGTGTCATCTTCCTGTGCCGGTTTATGTTTTTGTTGCTGGACTTTGAGTCAATTCTTGCTCTTTCAGAAATAATGCTATGGATTCTAAGAAGACAACAGAAAACTGGATAGTTTTTACAAAACGTGTCCTTAGCTAAGTATAGGAAGGACTACAGAACAGAAAAATTCAGTGTGTTTGTAAAAAAAAAAAAAAAAAAGCAGAGGGGATGACATAAAGCTATGTTACATATGGAGACTTTTTAAAGTCTTGAGAGCTTGAAACTTGTTTTCCTTTGAATGCAGACTGGATGGTTTGGAGCCCATCCAATACAGGTAGTCTTCGACCTAAGACCACAATTGAGCCCAAAATTTCTGTTGTTAAGTGAAACATTTGTTAAGTGAATTTTGCCCCATTTTACGACCTTTCTTGCCACAGTTGTTAAGTTAGTAACTTAACTGACTTCCCCATTGACTTTGCTTGTCAGAAGATTAGAAAAGGTTGATCACATGACCCTGGGACACTGCAACCGTCATAAATATGAACCAGTTGTCAAGCAACTGAATTTTGATCACGTGACCCTGGGGAGGCTGCAACGGTCGCAAGTGTGAAAAACAGTCATAAGTCACTTTTTTCAGTGTCATTGTAACTTCAAACGGTCACTAAAAGAACTGTTGTAAGTCGAGGACCACCTGTATGCCCCATAATAAATATCTTACAGAATGACCTTAGGAATGTTGGTTTTTTTTTTAAATTTGTACTTATCTAATCTGCATACCTTTTTTCTTTTCTAGAAATGGGAACAAATAGAAAGCAATACCAAACTGCGGTACGTGGGCAACAACTTGTGTTTAGACAGCCGAAATGCCAAAAATGGTGGTTTGACTGTTGAAGTCTGCAGTCCTTCATTGTCACAGCAGTGGAAGTTCACACTTAATCTACAGCAGTAGAAACACTCGGACAGAAGTACTGTCTCATTTCCTAAACCTTGGGCAACATTTTGATTGCATTACTGATACTTTATATACCTCAGTATTCCATCATTATTTGAAAAGTAAAGTGAACATAAGGAAATCAAAGCAACTGGGGATCCTGCCATCATCTGATCAAATATAGCTGAAGCAGTGCTTACCCCCCCTCTTCCATCAAGGTCTGTTGGCTTCTCCCCACCTTCAACCTAGTATTTTCAGAGCAGATGATTAACCACTTTAGCAACCACAGATACATGGTAGAAACCTGCTTTCAACACAGGGAAGGGAAGGGCATACTCGGAGGGAAGTGGCGGGAAGAATCTCACGAGCAGTCTCCGCTAACATAAAAATAGGTGTTTGTGGTTTCCAGCAGTCAAAGCATCATTTGGAAGGTTTTGCCATGTGTACTTGATATATCGGACCGTGGACTTTTCTATGACGAGACTCCAGATATAAACGCTATATATAAATATAAATATATAAATATATATATATAAAATATATATTGTCGAAATTTACAACTTTCTATCAATTTTTCATCATCCTGTAATTTATCAACAAAGCGTTTTAACACTTGACTGGAAAATAGATTGGACAGTTGTAGAAGAACAGCATTTTGTGAAGATGCAAGTTTGTGCCACTGCATTGTGTTCACGCAAACACTGGATGCTTCTGCTTTGTAAAGTGTGCCTATTTTTTTATTATTTTTTTTTGCACTTCGTTCTCCTGAAAGTGGCCAGACCTCTGTTGCAGAGGTTGGTGGAATGGCAGAAAGAGGCTTGCCCGGCTTCATCTCACCAGCATTGTCACCTTCTGTTCAGGAATTACATGCCGTGTGCTCTGGATAACTCGGTGTATTTGTATTGAGCAACTTTAGACTACCTTGCGCCGAAAACTAGGTTTTAAAATGCAGCTTTGGGACTTTGGTTCTTGGTTTCTCTTCTTTGCTGTTACTCCTTTTAAAAAGTTGTCAGAATGACAGATAGCACAAGACCACAAGTAGCCTTCTTGTGAAGTTACAAGCAGCCTATTACTAATGACCAACATTGCAGCTGTTAGGCATCTGCTCTTGAGTATCATGGTTTGAGGTTTTTCTTTTATGACATTTCACTATATGTCTCAACATTGGCGCAGAAGTAAAACTTTGGAAGTGATTGTTCCATTCCATTTTATATCATAGCAATGTCATCTCTGCGTGTGTTGTCTGCATCAGCTGTTTTTTTTAAACACCGTTTATGTAAGATTTTAAACAGAAATGAAAACATTCACAGAACATGCCCTCCCCCAATGATTACAAAATGACAAAGGTAAATTATTATGCAATCATTTCTTGACAGTGTTCGTCTTCTGGCTACATGCATTTGAGAGTATTCTGTAAAGTGCATTTTTCCATGACGGCCACAATATTTGTTGCAAAAAAAAAAATGGGCATCTTTCCACTCAAATGAGGACTTTGGTTTTGCAATGCTTCAGATAAGCCAGTGAAGCTTTGAATTTATATGGCATGCTTGTGGTTTCTGTTGATACTATATTGAGGTACTACATTGTTTTAATTAAGAATGATGATTCCATTGATGGGCTGAATGTGAATATTCCTCCTTTCCAGACTAAATTTGCCTCTTCTGTGATTAAAATCTCTCATGTAATTATGTCCTTGACAGGAAAAATAATAAATGCGGTCTTTGCCTTTTTTCGAAATTCATTTTTTTTAAGGCTGCCCAAGTCATGAGATGAAGGTAACATTCATTTATAAAACTGTGGCACTGGGGGAGAGCACTGAAGTGCTTATTAAGTAGCCAGCTAATTATAATCCAGGACTTTTGAGGAAGAATTCTTGGGGGGGGGGGGAAAGGAAGCTAAATTGTAAAGGTTTTTTTTGAGTGATGGTGGTAGAAGCTATTCAACGAATAGCTGATTTTGAATTCTGCAAAGCTACTATCTTGACTAATATTTAAGCAGGTGTGTTAGCAGGATTTCCCCCCCAAAAAAAAGTCTTAAATGTTATCTATGTGTTGTATTCAAGTTCTAGGGATGAAAGTGATCATTAGGCATGGACTCTGGATCAGAAAATGCAGTAATGTGATGCTAGCTATGTTTACATGACACAGTGTGCCAAAGTTATTTACTGTGACTACGTTCTTTTTTTTTACACAACTATGGACTTCATGTGTATTGTACCAAGCACTGCTTTTGCACACCTCCTTGTCAGTGCAAAATACTAAAGACCTTGTTGTTGAAAAAGATTTTCAAACGAATTGAAGATATGCAGAGGCAGTCAGTGGTAGGTATTGAAGTTAGATACAGGAAATAGTTGAACCTTCCCTTGATCTTTTTTATTGTAAACTACCAGGAAATTTAATAAGCAGTTACCATGTCATCTCTGTCCTAATCTTAGCTACTTTAAAGCAGAAATAATGGTGGTACATGTACATTTCCTTTTACAAATTAAATGTGGTTTAGAAAATTATTTCTGTTGGTTCTTTAAAATCTGCTGTACAGAGCTTGTACTTTGTTCATTTTATAGATGGAAACCATCCTTGAAAAAACTGTTTGTTTAACTTAAGAAAATAAATACTTTATAGATAAGATAACAGAGTTTGCTGTCATTTTGTCTACACTGCTGAAGTCCTGGTCAGATTACATGAACTTTAGTGAACACCTCTTGATCTACTCAGTTGGTCAACTTTTGCCTCTTCCCTTTATCTGCCACAATGTCCACAATTAACAATGAACTTGGGACAATTTTTTTTGCATGTGCTTCACAAATAGTTAGACAGTTGTCTTGTGGGAATGGGGACGTTAAAAACCCAACCTTTGGCTATATTTGGGTCACCTGTGATTGATTTTCACCAATTTCATGTTTCCTAGATGAGAACTGATTTGGGCAAGTATTTTACTGCTGAATGCAATTTTTATATTGTAAACAAAAATCTAAAACAGTGGGCACAAGCCTCTCTTAGTACAGCTATTTTACCTTAACTTTGGTTAATTAAGCCATATTTTTTATTTCTTAAAGATTAGAATGCTCAGTGAAACATGGTATTCTCATCAATCACTTTTGCCAATACAAATTTAGGAAAGTTTGATGTTGGGACAAAACTAAAATTTGAAATAAAAGAGCTTCAATTTACTAATTAAAGTGGTAAATTTACCAACTCTGCACTTAGGGAATTGGTACACATGAAGTACTTTTGTAAATGAATGTGTTATAAATTTATTAAAATAACTTAATTTATTTGCTTTGTATTTTGTATTTTACTCTATAATCTAATAATAATAATAATAATGATAATGATGATAATGATGATGATGAAAATGAAAACTGTAATTGGAATCCAGCAAAATAAGGGGACCTTAGTGAATATTAGGCTGGTCTTCTAAGCAGTAAGTTCTCATAGTTAACAATTGATTCTTTTTTTTATTTTCCTGTTGCCGCCCTACTTATGCAACTGTGTCATGTTCATGAGCTTTCAATGAAAAGCCATTGTCCTTGGGTAACCTGTTAGTAGCGCTTCGTCCAACAAGCAGGAAATTAATGTGTCAGGCACAAAAAGAGCTTAGCCTTTGTATGGTTGAGCAAAGAATAATTGTACTTTTTTTTTTCACCTAAGCCAGAACTGAGAGCTCTTCATGTTTTGCAATGAAGTTCCTAAACCAAAAACTTCAGGCATATGGAATTTATATATTGGCATACAATGTAAGGTATAGTAATTTTGAATTGTGTAAACTTTGACCCAAATACTTTGCAACAAGGTTCCTAAAAGCATCATACAAAGTCACTCTGAGTGAAATCCAGTATCCTCAAAGATCACTGTAACAGATTGCAATGACACATAAATGAAACTAATTTTTTAAAGGTATTTTGAAATGTTTCAGAATGATTAGATGCTTCTCATCCCCATATTCATTATGATATATCCTTAAATATGCAAATAGGTTTTGCTACTGTATGTACCATGTTTAGATAATGGTGTGCTCTATTTTTATGCTTTCCTGAAATGGGAATCAAAGGATTTCCATTTCCTGTTTAAATCAAAAGGATTCTAGTAGCATTTTTCCACATCAATATATTTTATTAAAATACAAGTTTTTGTGGGCCACAACTGACTTCATCAGATGCATTGGAGTGGCTAGACTGATGCTGAATTTGAACTGGGATAAGGTGGAAGCATGGATGGAGGAAGGAGAGAAAACAGTGGTTGCATCAGATGCACATGGGGCAAATTACAAGTACCTTATCAATTAACAGTCGTAATGTGTTAAAAACCCATTGCTGAGAGCTTCTGAGATAGCCTGAAACCTAATAATAATAATAATAATAAATAATAATAATAATAATAATAATAATAATAATAATAATAATAATAGTAAAGTTGGAAGGGACCTTGGAGGTCATCTAGTCCAACCCCCTGCTGTGGCAGGAAACCCTATAACATTTCGGACAGACTACTTTTTCACACTTACAATTGTTGTATGTGAATTTAGCAATCTCTTTTCATTGTTAGTACTTCCAAGATGGCTACTTTGAGATCTGTCAAGGAGTAAGTGGAAAATTGAAATGCTCTGATATTTCTTGAACCTTCTTTGGAGGCCTGATGTCAAGCCTGAGTCCATTAATTCTTCTGCCCAAAGTTTGGCCTGCTAGTCCTACATAGAATCAAGAAAGGCATTGCCGGCACATCCTCTAATGTAATATATGCAATCATCTGCCAACTTTAATAACATTTGTTAGTCTGGAAAAGTAATATCTCTCTTTTTGATTTTTGGCCACCAAGCTAGCCTAGCTTTCATACAATGTCTACTTGCTTACAGTATTTAAGATGACAAAGAATTATAGGCATGAAATACTACTTAAAAGTATGGAAGGGATTTAGTTTAGTTTAGTTTTAGTTTAGTTTTATTAAATTTATACCCCACCCTTCTCCCGGAGGACTCAGGGCGGCTTACAGCCAGCTTAAAAACAATAATACAATATAATACAAAATTTAAAAGTAATTAAAAATAGATATTCAATAGGCCGCTTATACTAAAAATTTTGTTAAAACCAATTTAAAATACCCCTAGGCCAGTCCTGCCCGCTGAAATAACCAGGTCTTAAGGGCGCGGCGAAAGGAG